TTCTAATGCATGATATGTATGTTTCTAACCCATGATATGTATGTTTATAAACCATGATATTTATGTTACTAACCCATGATATGTATGTTACTAACCCATGATATGTATGTTTCTAACCCATGATATGTATGTTTATAAACCATGATATTTATGTTACTAACCCAAGATATGTATGTTACTAACCCATGATATGTATGTTTCTAACCAATGATATGTATGTTTCTAACCAATGATATGTATGTTTTTAACCATCTCAATGAAAATATAGTTAGTTATCCCCTCAACCCTTTAATCCCCTACCCATATTCACTCTCTTACCCCCCATTTACTCCTGTCGTTTCATATATTTTAGCTCCTTGTATTTTTACAACTATTCAGTAAACCTATAAAGTATAGGACTACATAGAATATAGACTAACAGTCTGGTAAACTGTGCTAAACCAGATACGGTAGTTTGATAGATTGATAGTTAGCACAGCTTTTAAATCTTAAGACAGTTTTTGTTCATAAACTTGATAAATATACACTAAAGGTATTAAAAAAATAGATGACTGATAGATATTGAGAGAAACGATAGAAAGATTTGAACCAGAAACTTTTGAACTGATGGGTAAAATGATCTTACCCTTCCTGTGAGCCGACTCCCAATGGTCAAAGCTGTAATGCCTTTCCATTTAATTAATTTAACTCCAGAATTCAAAGTTTTAATGAAGATTAAGGAGTTTAGCTTGTAGATTAACTGCGTTTCATTTAAAAGTTTCAGGCACAGTTGACGTTATTTGTTTTACCTCTTTGTATCTCGTAGGTTCTAAATCCTTCAACAGGAGACCATAGACCCATACACGTAGCAGACATCGACTCAGCCATCCTATACAATACATATATATACATATTAATTTGCTTGCATGTACTAATATATATAACTATGAGAATATCAATAATATAATCAGTGTCAATAAACATATACGCTAATTTCTTGAAATGTTTACAAGCAAAGCTTCATTAGATCTAATAAAGTTTCTTCTTATTTAAATCCCCTTTTTAACGGAATTGTGGTGAGTTGGTATTGTTAAAAACATCTTACATATTATAATTGATTTTACCTTATTGCTCTAGTTTCCCCCTTGCCATGATATTCATAAACAAAGCATCTGTATTTCTGCTCATCTGTGTATATATGCTGTCTACTGAGTTCTCCCACAAGATAATGTTTAGAACCTTCCTTCCATCCTGAACAGTTTATCTGTATATATATATATATATATATGTGTTATATGCTGTCTACTGAGTTCCGTTGGTTACAACGCTTCTAATTTTTCTATGTTCCTAAAAGTGTGTTAGAATAAAAATAAAATTAAATATTTGTGTTTACCTGCTAAACAAGTTAGTTTCTCTGAACTGATCTCTGAACCTTGTACATCTATACAAGCCTGGAAGCTAAGCTGAATACTTCTTTTGTCTGAACATGAATCTAGATAACTCTCCGGGTACCCACACACAGCACCAGCTCCACCCTTGGCGTAGCTGAATGTATGCGGACCATGGAAAGGACAAGGTTCAGGCTCCACATCCCGTCGTATCATTGAGTACATAGCAGAATCACCAGCTATACCAGAACATAGAGAACTGAACCCGTCAAAATAGGTCTCACAGTAACCTAAACATTGATCACTACAATTCAAGAATTGGAGTATTCGTTTAGAACTCGTGGAAGAGAAAAACGATGTCTTTATAAGCAATTAAATATCCTAAATATTACTTAAGCTGCATTTTATTAAACTTTAACTATTTGACAAAAATTTAGTTTGAGAAATTAATAAAAAGATTATGTATGTATATACTCAATACACATACAAGGCACAGGTTTAAAATTCTTAATAAAACTATTGGCTGTGCTGTGTTGAAAATATTTGTAAAATAAATTGAAAATTTCTTTTTATGGTCGATAATGGTTAAATTATTTTTCACACATAGCTCACTGAAATTGATGACCCGTTTTATTGAACAGTTTATGAGGTTTTCAATTTAGAAACCCAATTTACCAGTTATTTATTATAAAATGTATGTGCAGTGAAGTAGAATGAGATATTACAGCCTCCTCCCCTCCACCCAGTCCTTCAAAAGCCACTATTTTCATTAAACTCTTGCTTCTTTATTCTTTTGTTTTTTTATTATATTTTCCAATACAGAGTTTTCTTACAAACTCACATTTTAAATTGCTTTTTAATCATTTAAGATGTTTCAAGATTCAGGAAACCTTTAAAACAATCTTGTATTGACTGAAACTTCACAACTTTCCAATAAATCTTTAAAAACTTTCCGATTCCTAATTTGATTACTTACTTTCTTTATACTGGAGAACATTCTGATGTTTCCTGTAGATACTCAGACATCTCCAACACTTCTCTCCTCCATCTATAGTCTGGAGAACATACTGGCTCCCTGAGTTCCAGATACACTCTCCCTTCTCCGTGATGGATTGATTGGTCACCAGGAGAGAACTAGAATATCCAAGATGGAAGTAGGAACCATGCCAAGCAGACGGGAAACTGCATCTTGTATCTAAACAATGATTTAATTAATGAAATGATCTTTGATCAGATGCGTATAAAGGGGGGGCGATTGGAGTTTAGTACCCCCCCCCCCAGGAACAGTGAGATCTATGGTTTCCAGGGGGTAATCAAGCACAAAAAAAGCTCCCCTCAACAAATTCTTGTATACGCTCCTAGTTGTCTGATTATAAATAAAACAGGAATCGAAAGATGTGAAGCAGAGTGAAAAGCTTTCTTGGTTGGATCTAGCTGACTAACTCTAGCTGGAGATCTTCACGTTAATATTAGCTAGGGAAATTATTTCAGAGGTGAAATGCAGTCCATGTTGGATTTAAAACTTCAAGATTCACAAATCTAAGACGTTTTTAAAAATTGTCTACTCGATATCAAGTTCAATCGCGCTGAAATTATGGGCTTAACCGGATATCCAACTAACACAACAATTTCTAGCTCTGTTTGAACAATTATGGTGTATATATGAGTAAAGGAATTGAGTTTTTGCCACAAACTCAATATCTGGCCTCTATATCTATAAAACCCTTGATATTTCAAAATCATTTGACCTAACAGAATTTATAGTTTGAGATATCAAAGGTCTACACATCGGGTTGCCAAAATATAGGGATAAGAAAATCAAGAGTTTGTGACAAAAAATCATTTCCTTCTTATGTGAAGTAGTAAAGGTTATTATAATAAATATATATAATATTTGATTGTTCTTGTATATTTGTAACCAGATGTTGCATATCTTTGTTATTTCAAACTATGAAAGTTTATGGATAAGAAAATTTGATTTTGTGACGAAAACTCCCGTTACTTCTGATTAAGATTGGTAAATTATAAACCTGGGTTAAACTACAGTGATGTTCTAAATAAGCCGGAATAATATGAATTGATTGATAACTTCAAAGCCGCATTTGACCCTTAGAAATAGTTTGCAGCATTCACCATAGCCCTAGTCCTGCACTTTCCAAAATGTGATCTGCTATTTTTGTGCTGTCATAGTTAACGGAGATAAAAATGATTTTATTCAGAAAGAGATATTTTCATAGTTTTATTTTATAAATTGAAGAAAAAAAATTCTTAATATCTCAGGTATTTTTTAGAGCAAATAAATGGCAAACCATATTTTGGAAAACGCAAGATTATAGCTATTTTGTGATTATTGTTTAATAAACAAATTATTGCTAAAATCAAGTTAATTATGTTAAATGCCGCAAGATATTTTCAATGTTATCCATGAATTTTTATTATTCCATCTTATTTAGATGAATACAGTAGATATCTATGGCGTGGTGTAAGTAAAATGTATCGGGTTTTCATGCTGTTTTGTTTCAAAGTTTCCAAGTTAAAGTGTAAATTGAAGAGCGAGTACTATTTTAGTTTTAAGAAACCCTGTCACATCAAGTTCAATAAAAATATTTTTAGTTTCAAAAACTTTTTGAATCATGAATTTAAATCTTTTAGACCTGAAATCAGTTGTGTTAATATGTACGTTTATATATATATTTACAAGGCTTTCTACACATTTCATAAACTAAAACTTTTTCAGACTTTTCTGTTTAAGTTTTGAATTTTCCAAAATAAAATTTACTCGACATTTTTTTTAGGCAAAATTTTTAATTTTGACTGGTCATATACCTTACCTAGGGAGATGTGGATACATTTGGATACAATGAAACCTTTTATTACTACTAGAATACCTGATGAAACTCCTGCAAGGAAAAGAAGGATAAGTCCTAGTTCTCTAAACTCCATTCTGTTCTTCATCCTACCCGGAGCAGGTTTCCTAGAGTATTGATGGTCAGATACGTTTCCCGGGATGGATTCAACTTCAACAAGAAAGGAAGAGTTTAATACATATTCTGCAAATTATTGAAGTCCATTTTGTATAATTCTTGATAACATTTTAATTCTGTTGAAAATAATGTTATGTCTCCTACAGTTCTATACTCCTGGGGTTCTAATTCTTCCAACTTAGAACTGTCACAATTTATCTATTTATATTCGTCTTCAAAACTATTTTGCACCAAACCGTTTATTTTTCCTGTAGGTTGTGTGTATTTAAGAGGGAAAGTTTTCTCTTGTTCTTCAAGATTAGAGATATATGTATTTAATGTATTCAAGGAAATCTTTATGTTGATATTCTGGTTGAAAACAAGGAAATTATGCTAATATATATTCGCGCATTTATCCTCTTCAGTCACAGTCCAGTTTTTCACAACATTGTTCATACTTTTACAGTAAAATCTGAACAATTTTCACAATAGTCCTGTATAATATTACTAACAGTATACACTGCAAACTTTTCGTTCGTTCTTGAAATTAGATTTACAACTTTTCCGTCTGGATAATTTGAAAACAAAACTTCGTTAACATTACAAAGTAAGTCAATATTCTATATCCTTCAGATTCCAGCCACTAACTGAGCTGAAAAGAATACGAGACTTCCTCTAGACCCGGTTCGACCGATTCATTTATTCCGACCCGGCTCGACGGAGAACATATTCCGTACCGGCCGTGGATTTTCTTTGTACCGGCCCGACTTTGTAGAGAACTGACCAGTGACCATGGAACGGAAATTTTCTCGGTAAATGTTTGGGGATGAAAACATAAACCAGAAGAACCTAGAGCTCTACACACCAGATAATCCAGGCTCATTAAACCTCAGCTGAAACCAGACTTAACACGCACCATCTAAATATACATCAAATAAAATATGTTTTTTATAAATACAATTCACTTTTCATATGATAATATAGTAATAAAAATAATATGAAAATATTAATAATGCAATAATATAATTACAATAATAATATCAATAATAATTTTTCTAATGATGTATTATAAATAAAGGTCTGTGTTCCTAATTGTACCTTGAGTTCCTATGTATATTATCTAACTATGGATCTATGTGTTGACTATTTATCTTGTATTATCTAAACATTAGATCTAACTAATTAATTATATCTAGGCTGAGATAGGTTTCATGCTTTTAGAACATGAGCTTTATGTACCTAGGCTTATATATTGTACAATAATCTATAAATACAAAATGTACACTGTAGGGAGGAGTCCCGAAAATTATAAAACTACTTTAAATTCGTCTCTTTGATCTTTAAAACGAAACATTGCAAAATTTCCTTTCTTCCAAAGTTATAGTTTAGTTATTTGTATCGGAGGCATTGGAAATTTTTGCGAGAATTAAAAAAGCCTGGCGCTGGATTAAATCAAGGTTTTATAAAATATGACAAATTAAATCTGTGCAATTGTCCCATTTTTGTATATGACAGTAGTCTAATATGGTTCACTAATTAATTGTATAATAAAAGACGAGTAAGTCGGTAAATATACATTTTTATTGGGCCTCCCTACCTACACTTCATTTATTATTTATAGCAACCTGTTTTCTATCCTGTAAACTGCCTCTCCTACTTCAACCATCAACATATTAACAAAATTGTGAAAAAAAGTTTTCGAGGATTTTAATATTTAAATTCGCGCATTTTAAAAATATTTTTAGCACTCTCAAATGCTGCAAAACTTTGTTAAATTTTACTGTAGTTTGAGTTTGAAAATTTGTTTATCTGATTAAAATTTGAAGTTCATGAGTATGGTTCTATTAAAAAATATTTGGACTGATACAAGGCTTTTAATTCTCACATTAATGCTTTACTCTAATAAAAGTTTGATATTATTTAATGTTAATAACTATTTCTCTAAAGATCTGGGTTTCAGGTTTGAAGGTTTAAGGTTTTCAGTTTCCAGATTCCAGGTTAAGGTTCCAAACTTTTGTAGGTTCTAAACTTTGGGTTGATAGTTCCAGATTCAATGTTCTGTATGGGTTCCTGTCCATATGTTGGTTTATGATTTCAGGTTCTGAATTACAAATTTTAGGTTCCGTATTCCAGATTGTGGGTTAATTTTAGTTTTCATATTCTAGTTTAAAGATTTTATGTTTCAGAATACATACTTGTGATTCCAGTCAAGTAAAGTGGTGAAAAATATTTTGTGAGGTGAATCCCCCCCCCCCCCCCCCCGCACTTGTGTATGCATATTATAGAGTTGAATATACAGTAAAATTTGTTTTAACCTGATTTCTTTCTAAATTGCTTGTCAGAGATAAGAAGAAGAAAACTAGAAAACTAGGTTCTGTTTTATAATCTTACTAAACACATCGCCACAAACACTGTTTTGCAACAACAGTGCAGGGTGCTTCTATAGAAATATACAAGTTTTTTTATATTGATATGATTATATTGGACAGGGTGTCACAAATCGTCTTTAATCCGTGCGGCATGGCATATAAATATATATAAATCTGTCCAGATTCCAACATATAAATATTAACAACAAAATTGTTCAAATGTTTGATATCTCTGTCAATTTTGAAGATACAAAAAGGAAACTTTATTTTGAAAATTTCAATGTTTATTGGGACACCCTGCAGATTTCATTACATGTTTCTTTTTCTAAAATCGTCTTCATTTTTCCGTATCATAATTTTATCTCGACATCACCGTGTAGAGTGTAGGGTGCAGCAAAATTCAGTAACCAATAAACTATACCAATAGTGTAGGGTGCAAATACAATAAACAATACCTTGAAACATCAACAGTGTTTTTCAGCTTATTATGAAATTGACGGAAACCAATTTCATTCCCGAAATCAACTTTTGTTGGATACAAATTTTCTTCAATTTGAAATTAAGATCATAATTCGTTCATTGGTAAAAAAGTGCATTTTAACTGTATTAATAGAGATTCAAACCCTTCAAAACTTTTTGAAACCTTGAAAGGCATGTAGGAAATAATATTATAATTAATTTAAAACTTGATTACACTTCCTTGTATAATAAATTGAGTCAATTTTGAATTCTATTTCTCGGTTGATAACTCCAAGAGCCTTGAAGGTAGTATATTCATGGCATTGTCACGAATACTGTATGTTAGTTGGATCTTGATGCACGCTAATATATCTCAAATTCAGGTTCATTTGAAATTGTTATACCATATCCTTAAGTGACAGATACCGCAGAGGAATTGAGTCTTTGCCACAAACTCAAATTTTCTAATCTCTTTATATTTGCAGCCGGATGGTTTATATCTTGCATATTTCAAACTTAGATAATTTAATCTGACAGAATTCATAGAATTCATTCCATGCCAATGGGTTGCAAAAATATAGGGATTAGAAAATCTGAGTTTGTGGCAAAAACTCAATAACTTTAACTTAATTTCACGAGCTTACATATATTAAGGTTTAAAGTAACTGTATACATAACTGGAAGAGACTTTCCATTTATTGAGGGGCAATGTCGGATTTACATAAAAGCATTTTCTGAACAATAATGCTTGAGATTTTCTCATCAATAATGCTTGAGATTTTCTCATCAATAATACTTGAGATTTTCATAATTTTCTCAGTATTCTCAACAGTGGTTTCTTTAGTTAAGTTTCTTAATTATTGCTCCATAAAAATAGAGGAAATTGAAAGCTTCACTTATCTTATTTTTTAATGAAGCGTTATTTGAAATTACGTCTTAAGCCTCTATATTGTGATATCATTAATGACATAAAATGTATAACATTCTCTTTAACATGGATTACAGGTGGTTTAAGAGTAAAGAGAAACCATGAACTAATTCTACCTGTCTCTCCCCCTGCCCTGTAATTATGTTGTGTCCCAGGGACCAGACCAGGTTCTAGATGTTGACAAGGCGGCATCTCTTAACCATTCACTTGTCAATCATATCCAGGGGATTCAGGGGTTCGGTAGGGTACAGAGAGGGGGGGGGGGTGTTTTAAAATTATGTCTTATTTATAAAGAACACATGGGAAAACAGGCAGAACTTACATTTTTTAAAGAAAGTTGTGCTAAACTCGTTAAATACTGATAAAATATATTCTATATAATAAAACAAGACATTCATATATATGTTGCGTATAGCCGGCCAAACAGTTGGACCGATTGGACTGAATTTTAAATTTTTTTCAATTTTTTTTTATTACACGGGGAACGTCGGGCCCTTCATATGGTACATATATACTTTGCTTGTCTGTTCGTCTGTCTGTCAGTTTCAATCCAATAAACGTCAAAACGGCTGAACTGGTCGTGCCCAAATTTTGTGTGGGACTTCACATGTCCCCAGGAGAGCTTTATAGATGATCAAAATTTCAAAAGTTTGCCTCCAACAAATTCGATTTTCATTAAATTAAAAAAATCCACGAAATTTTTTTTCTAAATCCACAACTTTTTTTTAACAATGTAAACAACAAAAAAATTTCACAATTGAAATAGAATATGCGCGCGAAGCGCCCTAAAAGGCTAGTAAATATATATTATATATCTTAAATATAATGATATTTCAAAGATCTGAAGTGGAAAGTTGAGAACAAAGAGCACCAGCTTTGTATCATATACAATAGGTCTCTTAATCTTCTAATGCTGGAAATTAACTTCACACAAACATTTAGAGAAGATATTTAAACTCATTCAACCTGAGATATAGGTTGTACAAACTCATATAATCTGAGATATATGAGATATTTAAACTCATTCAACCTGAGATATAGGTTATACAAACTCATATAACCTGAGATATGAGATATTTAAACTCATTCAAGCTGAGATATAGGTTATACAAACTCAAATAATCTGAGATATGAGATAATTTAACTCATTTAACCTGAGATTTGTAAACTCAAATTATCTAAGATATGAGATATTCAAACTCAAATAATCTTATATATAATTATCTAAACATGTATAATCTGATATATGAAATATGATTTAGTTTGAAAGGTCCGAACTCATCCTAGTTGAGATATCATAACCAACCCTAATTAAGATATCTTAATTAGTCCTACTTGAAATACCCGAACAAATCCTACTTGAGATATCCTAATTAATTATAGTTGAGATATCCAAACTTATCCTACTTGAGATATCCTAATTCGTCCTACTTATTCTAACTATTCTAACTAATCCTACTTGAGATATCCTAATTAAACCTAAGGGAGATATCCTAACTACTCCTAACTATTCCTACTTCAGTATTCTAATTAATACTATGTAATATATCCTAATTAATCCTACTTGAGATATCCTAATTAATCCTAACTATTCCTACTTCAGTATTCTAACTAATCCTATGTGAGATATCCTAATTAATCCTACTTGAGATATCCTAATTAATCATACTTGAGATATACTAATTAATCATGCTTGAGATATTCTAACTTATCCTACTTGAGATATCCTAATTAAACTTAAGGGAGATAGCCTAACTAATCCTAACTATTCCTACCTCAGTATTCTAACTAATCCTATTTGAGATATCCTAATTAATCCTACTTGAAATATCCTAATTAATCCTACTTGAGATATCCTAATTAATCATGCTTGAGATATCCTAACTTATCCTAGTTGAGATATCCAAACTATTCCTACTTAGGATATCCTAATTTGTTCTACTAATTCAAACTATTCTAACTAATCAATCCTACTTGATTTATTCTAACTAATCCTACTTCAGTATTCTAACTAATCATACTTCAGTATATAACTAATCTTAGTTGAGATATCTAAACTAATCCTACTTGAGATATCCTAACTAATTCTACTTCAGATATCCTAACCAATCCTATTTGCAATATCCTAACTAATCCTACTTCAGTATACAAATTAACCCTACTTCAGTATCCAGATTAATCCTAATTGAGAAATCCTATTTAATCCTACTTCAGAAAACCAAATTAATTCTACTTATGATATCCTAACCAATCCTATTTGCGATGTCATAACCAATTCTACTTTAGTATACAAATTAATCCTAATTCGTCCTACTAATTCTAACTATTCTAACTAATCCTACTTGAGATCTCCAAACTAATCCTAGTTGAGAGATCCTAATTCGTCCTACTAATTCTAACTATTCTAACTGATCCTAGTTGAGATCTCCAAACTAATCCTAGTTGAGAGATCCGTACTCATACGTCATATGTCAAACTTAATCTGATAAAACCTATGTCAGCCGTTTTGGGATTAAATATCAACATGTGTTCCAATTTTATTCATCAATGAAAAATCTTCTCCCCCCACATCCCATTTTTTTAAAACCCATACCCCCCTTTTCAAAGTTTTGAAACCTATGCCCACCCCACCTTGCTAACAAGAGCCAGGTTTTATCCCCTCTTCTGAATAAAATAAAAACTTCTCTGATTTCTTTATTCAAATGTCAATAACAAGGTTGAGTTCTACGGGAACACAATGGTTTATTCAAAAGTCAAATTTATGACAATATTTTTATGAATCCACACAAGAGAAATAGTGCATTTCCCATCCAGTCGAGAGCTCTCACGCCAAATTCTTTATATCTATATAATATAGAACTTGGTGTTGCGTATAGCCAGCCAAACAGGCTGAAATTTTTTGTGGACACTCAGGGTACAAAAATTCTTAATTTTCTTTTAAAATTAAAAAAAAATTTCCCCACGGGAAACTTCGGGCCCCTCAGATAGTTTGAAACAAAACGAAAAATTTCTTTTTTCTTATCAAATTAACGTAAAAAAAACTGAACCGATCAGGCCCAATTGTTTTGTGGGACATCACACGACTCACATAAAATTCTATATAGTTGGTTCAAAATCAACCGACTTTATCTATTCTCAAATATTCGAAATACATAGCCCAACAAAATAGTATGAAAAGCAAATACGAAAAGTCTACATTTAATGGGAAAAAATAGTATCTAGAGTTTACGGTCACTAAACTTTTAACTAGATAATTACGAGATTGAAGAGTGCAATTCTAATTGAAAAATATTTACATTCCAGGAACGAAAAATTGATCTAAGGTTGATCTAAGGTCGTTTTTCTTTTCCATATTTCATAGTTTCAGAGAGAGTTAACTTATGTTTCAAATTATATTTGAGGTTTGTCAATCGCTCTCTCTTTCTACCTTTATTTCTCACGTCAAACTAATGTAAAATCCACGTAAGATTGAAGTTTTATAAATGTTTTCAATCATAACACCTCTTATTGAACAGCTATTGAGAAGAACAGAAATGTTTTGATTTTTTCATTTTGAATTTGCTTTTCTTACACTAGTGCGTGAAATCAGAACTAGAGGAGAAACGTAGTCACAAATTTGTAACAGTAATGTCAATTGAAATTGACCTTCTCCTCCTGGTTAGTTTGCAGTGTTCTCTCTATCTGTCTATATCTCTCTCTATCTGTCTATATCTCTCTCTGTCTCTCACTTTCTCTCTCTCTCTCTCTCAATCTGTGGTTAGAATTAATAATATCAAATTCTAGATATACCAAGCACTAAGACTAACACATGGTGATTTAAACTTGAATATAATGTATATTAGATTTCATATAAACTATATTATATTTAATACTTACACTTACACTACAGGTTAAGAAAAAAGGAGAAACAAATTTATTTATTTATTTATTGTTTTATTATTAATTTATTTCAATTTACATCAGGTTTCATGAATTCTAGAATCTTCAGAATACAAGTTACAGCCTAAATGTATTCAATTTTATTTTAATTTAGAAATTAAGAACCGCTCTAAAATTGTGTATTCTAACCTTGTCTCTTTCTACTATAGTTTATAACATTGTCCCTCTCTAGTATAGTTTATAACATTGTCCCTCTCTAGTATAGTTTATAACATTGTCCCTCTCTAGTACAGTTCCTTACCTTGTCCCTCTCTAGTATAGTTTATAACCTTGTCCCTCTCTAGTACAGTTATAACATTGTCCCTCTCTAGTATAGTTTATAACATTGTCCCTCTCTAGTATAGTTCCTTACCTTGTCCCTCTCTAGTATAGTTTATAACCTTGTCCCTCTCTAGTATAGGTTATAACATTGTCCCTCTCTAGTATAGTTTCTAACCTTGTCCCTCTCTAGTATAGTTTCTAATATTGTCCCTCTCTAGTCAAGTTTATAACCTTGTCCCTCTCTAGTATAGTTTCTAACATTGTCCCTCTCTAGTAAAGTTTATAACCTTGTCCCTCTCTAGTATAGTTTATAACATTGTCCCTCTCTAGTAAAGTTTATAACCTTGTCCCTCTCTAGTATAGTTTATAACCTTGTCCCTCTCTACTATAGTTTATAACATTGTCCCTCTCTAGTACAGTTTATAACATTGTCCCTCTCTAGTATAGTTTTCAACCTTTTCCCTCTCTACTATAGTTTATAACATTGTCCCTCTCTAGTACAGTTTTCAACCTTGTCCCTATCTAGTATAGTTCCTTACCTTGTCCCTCTCTAGCATAGTTCCTTACCTTGTCCCTCTCTAGTATAGTTTCTTACCTTGTCCCTCTCTAGTATAGTTCCTTACCTTGTCCCTCTCTAGTATAGTTCCTTACCTTGTCCCTCTCTAGTATAGTTTCTAACCTTGTCCCTCTCTAGTATAGTTCCTAACCTTTTCCCTCTCTAGTATAGTTTCTAACCTTGTCCCTCTCTAGTATAGTTCATAACCTTGTCCCTCTCTACTATAGTTCCTTACCTTGTCCCTCTCTGTTTGAAAAGTTTGAAGAGGAACGTCGGAACCTTGTCTTAAAAACGTGAAATATTAATGTTCATTTATCTCAACTTTTTCCTTATTAAATATTGAGTATGAAGGGGAAACTTTATTTTGTTTTTCTTTTCAATTTGACAAAACATTTCCGGGACCATCCGTAGAGAAGTAGGATTTGATTATGCAGATTCTATTATTCGGAGCTGCATCTGGTATATAGGATAGGAGCAGGGTTCAGGTGAGATGCAGGGATTAGGTGAGGAGCAGGGTTCAGGTGAGGTGCATGGATTAGGTGAGTAGCAGGGTTCAGTTGAGAAGCAGGGTTTAGGTGAGGTGCAGGGATTAGGTGAGGAGCAGGGTTCAGGTGAGGAGCAGGGTTCAGGTGAGGTGCAGGGTTTAGGTGAGGAGCAAGGTTCAGGTGAGGAGCAGGGTTCAGGTGAGGTGCAGGGATTTGGTGAGGTGCAGGGATTAGGTGAGGAGCAGGGTTCAGGTGAGGTGCAGGGTTTAGGTGAGGAGCAGGGTTCAGGTGAGGAGCAGGGTTTAGGTGAGGTGCAGGGATTAGGTGAGGAGCAGGGTTCAGGTGAGGTGCAGGGATTAGGTGAGGAGCAGGGTTCAGGTGAGGAGCAGGGTTTAGGTGAGGTGCAGGGATTAGGTGAGGAGCAAGGTTCAGGTGAGGAGCAGGGTTCAGGTGAGGTGCAGGGATTTGGTGAGGTGCAGGGATTAGGTGAGGAGCAGGGTTCAGGGGAGGTGCAGGGTTCAGGTGAGGAGCAGGGTTCAGGTGAGGAGCAGGGTTCAGGTGAGGAGCAGGGTTCAGGTGAGGAGCAGGGTTCAGGTGAGGTGCAGGGATTAGGTAAGAAGCAGGGTTCAGGTGAGGAGCAGGGTTCAGGTGAGGAGCAGGGTTCAGGTGAGGTGCAGGGATTAGGTAGGAGCAGGGTTCAGGTGAGGTGCAGGGATTAGGTGAGGAGCAGGGTTCAGGTGAGGAGCAGGGTTCAGGTGAGGAGCAGGGTTCAGGTGAGGTGCAGGAATTAGGTAAAGAGCAGGGTTCAGGTGAGGAGCAGGGTTCAGGTGAGGTGCAGGGATTAGGTGAGGAGCAGGGTTCAGGTGAGGTGCTGGGATTAGGTGAGGAAGCAGGGTTCAGGTGAGGTGCAGGGTTAAGGTGTGGAGCAGGGTTTAGGTGAGGTGCAGGGATTAGGTGAGGTGCAGGGATTAGGTGAGGAGCAGGGTTCAGGTGAGGAAGCAGGGTTCAGGTGAGGTGCAGGGTTAAGGTTTGGAGCAGGGTTCAGGTGAAAAGAAAGGTTCAGCTGAGGTGCAGGGTTTAGGTTTGGAGCAGGGTTCAGGTGAGAAGAAGGGTTCAGGTGAGGTGCAGGGTTCAGGTGAGAAGAAGGGTTTAGGTGAGAAGAAGGGTTTAGGTGAGCAGTAGGACATTCTTTACTAAACGCCACTATATCTTCGGTCATTGTAATGCAAATTACTGCAGAACACACCGTCAGGAGCAGGGTTCAGGTGATGAGCACGATTCCTGTAAGGAGCAGGGCTCAAGTGCTGAGAACGGTTCCTGTAAGGAGCAGGGTTCAGGTGATGAGCACGGTTCTGTAAAAAGCAAGGTCCTGTAAGGTTCAGGGTTTAGGTGAGGTGCAGGGTTCAGAGTAGGAACAGGGTTAAGATTAGGAGTAGGGTTCCTGTGAAGAGGGGGGTTTAAGTGAGGTGCAGGGTTCAGGTTAGGAGCAGTGTTTAGGTGAAGAGCAAGGTTGAGGTGAGGAGCTCCGGGTTAAGATCCTAGGCTAGAATAAGTATTCAGATTGAGAATCATGTTAGTAGGAGAGTATCAAAATATATTGTATAACTTGCCTCAATTTCTAATCTTGTAACTCTTAGATATTTGCAACATGATGTCTTAGACCTTTAAAGATCAAATAGTGAAAGTTTAAACTAACAAATATCTACACCCTCAGGTTCCAAATATACACGGATTAGAAAATGTTTCAGGCGGGTAATCAGTTCCTTTAAGTGTTTTCACGTGATACTAATCCAAACATGTCATGTCAAGAAACCGGGTTAATATAATAACTCTGGTTCAGCTCATTAACTTCAATATTGTAGGTTGGAAGAAATTGATGAATGTTGAACACGCGACTATACTTCTGTATTAATTTTGACTGATCCTTTCGATTAATTATTTCTTAAACTTCGTTATATTTATAATTCACATATTACACAATATTGTCCAGAGAAACCACTGCGGCTCAGGGGTCAATATAATTCCCTTTTCAATCCCATTTGGGATTGAAAAATTTGAAAGAAATGGGGGCAAATTCTTTAATTGGGGGCAAATTTTTTTTACATGATAATTTAAAAAAAAATTGGGGGCATTTTTTTTAAATTTTTTTTAAAAATTGGGGGCATTTTTTTTTCAAAATTAGGGGCAAAAAATTATTTTGGGATCGAGAAAATCAGCTTTTTTGGGAATTATATTGACCCCTGTTGCGGCTGGGACAATAATGTTAATATAAGACGTCGAAACGGCTAACATATAACGAGGACAAAATTGAAAGGGACCTAATAGGATAACATTAAAAACCTCTCTCCTTTTAAAAATTCGATTTTTTTAAAGTTTAGAAGAAAACAAACACTAATAAAATCATAAAAATTTGTGTAATATTGTTTTAGTTTTATGTATATAGTTAAACATTTATTAATAGAAAATCAGTTATTTTTTGACTGATTTAAAAAAACATTACATCGAAGAAACAACTAAAAATCTTATTATTGTGTGAATGAATAAATCCCAGATTTTAATTGTTTAATTTACCATCATTATGATTAAATTCAATTGGAAAGATTTTTCTTTCGGTTAAAGAAGTTGATTTCAAGTTGTGGATGAAGGTTGGGAGGAAAATATTGTAAGTTTAATAATTTAAGTTCTGTTCTTTAATTAATCTTTTCTTCAATATTATTTCTTTAAACTTTGTTGCTACTCAATCTCAGCCCGGCAACTTAAGGATGAATATAAACCTAGAATAAGAGAACTTGGTTTCAGGGTTTTGTCAATAAAAACCTAGATTCTAAGAACTTAGTTCTAGGGCTTCTCAATGTAAATCTAGACCTGGGGGCTGGGTCTAATCGTTTCTAAATATAAATCTAGACCCTTAAAACTTGTTTGGAGGGTTTCTAAATATAAATCAAGACCCGGGCAGCTTGGTTTTAGGGTTCCTCAATATAAACCTAGACCCGGAGAACTTGGTTCTAGGGTTTCTCAATATAAACCTAGACCCGGAGAACTTTGTTTTAGGGTTTCTCAATATAAACCTGAACCCGGAGAACTTGGCTGTAGGGTTTCTTGATATATAACTGGACCTGGAGAAATTGGTTTAAGGGTTTCTCAATATAAATCTAGACCCGGAGAACTTGGTTTTAGGTTTTTCAATATATACCTAAACCCTGAGAACTTAGTTTTATGGTTTATCAATATAAACCTAGACCCGGGCAGCTTGGTTTTAGGGTTTCTCAATATATACCTGGACCCGGAGAGTTTTGTTATAGGGTTTCTCAATATAAACCTAAACCCGGAGATCTTGGTTTTAGGTTTCTCAATATATATACCTAGACCCTGAAAACTTGGTTTTTGGGTTTCTCAATATAAACCTAGACCCGGAGATCTTGGTTTTAGGGTTTCTCAATATAGACCTAAAACAGGAGAACTTGGTTCTATGGCTTCTCAATATTCAACTAGACCCGAAAAACTTGGTTTTAGGGTTTCTCAATATAAACCTAGACCAGGAGAACTTGGTTTTAGGGTTTCTTAATATTTAACTAAACCCGAAAAACTTGGTTTTAAGGTTTCTCAATATAAACCTAGACCCGGACAACTTGGTTTTAATCAATCTATATAGATTAAGGTTAGGTTATTCGAAAAATAATTCATATACTTGAGTGTTTGTTAGTTGTGTGTATTTATTTGCAGTAAACAAAACTGAACTAGAAATTCTCGTATTGGATACAAAAATAAAAAGATCTTAGCTGTAAAACCTTTTATTCCTTCTGAAATACGTGGTTAAAAATGTATATTATACAGTAACCACTAACCATACATAACAAAGATACAACATTTTACAATTTGAATACACCTAAAAATACGCATGAATACAGAATACGGCTAGCTTACAGAGAGGATACAGCCAAGATGCAGCACGGATATAGGTGGGATTCTGTTATGATACTGCAAGAGTACAAGTATAGATATAGCCAAGATACAGCTAGTAATTAATCAAAATACACAAATATACAATAAATAGGATACAAGTAAGATGCAGATAGTATACATCAAGGAGAAACCCCCAAAAAAATCTTCGTTGTAATATGATTAAATATAAAAAGTACATGTTGAGTGTAAAGCAAATTAATAGATCAGACACAGGAGAATGAAAAATATATTTATATGTAATTAAACATTAAAAGTCATAATAACTAGGTTAACTAAAATTTTAAACTATTGTTTAAAAAAATATGTGAATAAAAAATCTCAAACAAACTCAAACATATTCTCAGTGTTCTGATATGATATAGGTATGTGGCTGAGGGCTGATTTCTCAACAATCATATTTTCAACCAGGTTCCATCTATTAGTTGTTGGGTTGTAATATTCACACTTTCCTATAACAGCAGGCTCAGAAAACCCACCTAATAGAAATATTGGGTTTAGTTTCAAGCAAAGATTCTAGATAATGAAAAGGACGTATGAAAGTGAAATATTAAATTTTGTGTATATATCAGAAATATGGAAAATATAAAAAATGCCATGCTTACTCAAAATAGAATTTAGTTGTTAACATAAATAGAATCTATATTGTTCAAACTGGTAAAATATACCTGATACAAAAATATTTCCTTCAAGAACTGAGACAGCGTAGTTTGATCTGGTTTGGAGCATATCCGGCACATCATGGAACAGAAGTCTGTTCAAACCTGGAGAGAAACATTCCACACTCTTAAGTCTATCCGTTCCATTAAACCCACCGAGGACAAAAATCTTATCATCAACTACCACAGCTTTTATCCCTGACCTAGGACTTTGGAGAGATCCTACTATCTCCCAAACCTTGGATACTGGATCATAGCATTCTATAGTACTCAGAACCTCCTAATATGAATAAATAGAATAAATATCTGAAACAACAAGTCTTTGGTTCTCTTCAATTCCGATATGAAATGTAACTCGTCGGAAATCAGAATTTTTATAATGATCATTATTAATTATGTATGTGGTTTGGGGTAGTATGAGAGATAAATCTCTTATCAGTTATCATGTACAAAGCTTTATATTTTGTTTTCTCTTTGTAATATAATCTGTTAATAATCACCTGTCCAGAGAAACCACCGATAGCGTAAACTTTGTTTTGTAAAACAACAACTGCCAGATCTGATCTTGGAGTATTGAGATGAGGAAGTGTATACCATTGGTTGGTCCCAAGATCATATTCTTCTACACTCCTATGTCTCATTCTGCCATCATGTCCCCCGACAGCAACAATACGATTCTCTAATAGAACTGTTCCGATGTAACATCTCTTGTCCAGCATCGGAGAAAGTTCGTTCCATTCCTTTGTTGTTAGGTTGAAGCACCAATTAGAATTGTGATAAACGGGTCCGTTACTATCATATCCACCAATTATGTACACCTTAACACGTGAATAAAGAAACTATAGGTTCAAGGGATTTTTCATAGTTATTAGGAATTTATATGAAAAGTAATCGAGTCTTTGCCACAAATTATGATTTTCTAACCCATGTATCTTTGGAACCCAATGTCATGGATCGTCGATATTTCAAACTATGAATTCTGTCAAATCAAATAATCCAAGTTTGAAATATCAAAGGTTTGAACCATCAGGTTGTAAATGTATGGGAAATAGAAAATTTGAGGTTGTAGCAAAGACTTAATTCCTTTGTAACAATGGCAAATCTAAAAAAAAGCTTCATGATCCATTTATTGTCAATGGTATTAAAAACTGATTGAAATATAAATTTTCAACACTTAAAACTAAATTATCTTAATTAAGAAAAGATCGATTTTCTAGATGTATTTGTAGGAAACGTACACAATAACAAAGCTATCTCAGCTTATAATTACCTTGTTTCCAACCACCTCTAGACCATGATATGCTCTGCAGTAGGGTAGAGAGAAATCCATAACCTTCCAGCTGTTTGTCAGTGGATTAAAGGTTTCTATAAACCTACATGGCCCAGCAGGAAGAGAAGCCCATCCTCCCATACAAAGCAAAATTTGTCTAGGTATTCTACTACTCTCCACATGCAAACTACGCTGAGAGGCTAAAATTCAAGCTTTTATGATTTTTATAATTACATCATGTACAAGTTTTTATGGATTATGAATTAAAAATTTCTCACCTGATCTTCTGGTTGCAACAGGGGCCTCATGAAGCTTTCTCGTACGCTCAAGGGAATCGACAAGCTCTGTTTTCTGCCAGAAAGGTGACATAGCATCCAGGTTGACAAAATAATAGAAATCGTGGAGCGACAGTTTAGTAAACCGAACATATTCTAGAACCATGCCAAGCTCTATCGTTTTAATACGATTAGTTTTAGCCCAGGATAAAATAAACTCAAGAATTTCGCTTTCTTTAACACATGCCTCATCCTCGGAAGCAAAACTGCAAAGTTCTTCTGGGGTTACTTCCTAAGAGATTCAAATTTCAAAATATTCAAAACTTAATATGTATCATACTTTAAAATGATTTACCTTGAAAGAATCCAATTTGATCAAATCGGAAAAATTTCTAGTGACGAACCTCTTGATCTTTTGAGCGTAATGTTCACACAGAAACTGGGACGATTTTCGATAAGTCTCTAATGCGTTGGTGATGCGCAAGTTGCTCAAACACATTTCTCCGCACATATAGCCTAGATGGAAAATTTTGTACTTGTGGGCAACAATGATTGCTTCATCTAATTCCTCCTTTTGAATGTCACAAGCTCCAGTATATGCCAGATCTGAAATAATCTGTAGTAATCTTACAGATAAATTAAACGTGACAACCTTTTCAGAAGATTCGAGGAACGCCTCATACATTGGCATAGAAATGGCCGATAGACCTAAGAAGTAAACAGGCACTCTCCAACCGTCTGTTGTATGAACAATAGCTGTACAGGTTTCGTCTTGATAAGTCATGTCGTAAAAAGATTTCCTGAATTTTTTCGGCTTCGTTTCACAGAGACACTTCTCTTGCCTTGAAAATGTTCTCAGTGACATCTTGCGTGGAAGTGAACTGCTGCTTGAATGCCGTCTTTTCATTTTTATATTCTCCTCATCAGAATCAGTGATATCAAAACAGGATTTACAGAATTGTAAAATTTTGATAGATCTAAGTTTCTCAATCTTTGCAGTCTTACGAGAAAAAAATTGCGCATTTGTTATCGTATTTTTGCGGTTTTCGTATGTTGACTAACGCATATTCAGAGCGTCCCATATCTCAAGATTATCTCCAAGCTTTAACGCCAAAATATGCACATATAACTCAAAAAACATAGTATGATGTGGGAAATTTTAATTTAAATATTTTTTTTTTCTCAAACCTTACATGATCTATTTTTGATTTTATTGATTTATTATATTTTAGACAGGCCAGTAGAAACAAAGATGATTAAACATAATTCACCACGTTTGTTGTGCACACAAAAATTGTTATTTCCAACCAAATATTTAAAACATCTATGATCGCTCTGGAGGAAAAAGTCTTAGAACCAAATATAAAAGGATTTCTACAAAAGAAAAGGGGAAGTGAATTTAGGGGGGAAATGACAGGAATACAATACATGACAATACATTTACAAAATGATTTAAATAAAATGAAAAACAGGAGACAAGGAAACAGGAGAATAGAGAATATTTTTCGGTGTAAAACATTGTAACGTTTAATACAAGAAAAAAAAGTTTCTTTATATCAAAACAATTATATTGTCCAGCAAGGAAAAAATATGTTTTATTTTATATTTTTTCTCGAGATATCTCTCTTACAAAAAATCAAACATTAGAAAAATTTTCTATTTAATTGGCTTTTGAGCAAGACGGTTTTTAAACTATGAAATAGTTTGTAAGTTCACGTGTTTCCTCTAAAATTCCAACCGAAGGGGGCGGAGAGAAAGAGAGACAGAGAGAGAGAGATATTAATCAGATTTGTATCAGATCTGTTCATATAACATAACAATGAGCACTAACTTATTCATAGAGAGATAATTATTACGAAAGATACCGGATATATATCTATATATAGGAGATTTAAAAAACTAAAAAAATGAATCTTTGCCACAAACTCTGATGTTCGCTTTATCTTTTCAATCCAATGTCGTAGACCTTAGAAATTTTAAACTATGAATGTTTTAAGTTAAACTATTCTAAGTTCATGAAATATAAAGGTTTAAACCATCAGTATGCAAAGATATAGGGATTAGAAAATTTGAGTACGAGGGAAAAACTCAAATCCTTTATAAAATTAAATCCGTTTGGTAATTAAATAACTACAGTCGATAATGAATTTAATAGGTTCATTTGGAGATATCTATCATTATAACTATGTATAAACTCTGTGCAGTGTACTGGCCTTTCAATCGTAAAAAAATTGATTTTTCTAATTAGACTTAGGAATTACTGAATTTTTGCCACAACCTCAAATTTTCTAAATCTTATATCTTATATCTTATAGCTTTGGTATTTTAAACTTAGACTATCTGATCAAACAGAATTTATAGTAAAAAAACATGAAAGGTTGCAAAACTCAATTTCATTTAGTTAAATGGTAAAAAGATTGCATACATATATTTTCCAACGTCAGTATTACTACGGAAGTTGTGGAATCCCCCCTCCCCCTCTTCTTATATTTCACGGGCAGCCGTAGTACATTTGAATTTCCAAGCCGGGTCAACCTCCGGTCCCAGTTTGTACTGTACCGCCTGGACATTGGGTAAATAAAGCAGATGCTTAATAGGACTAGCCGCTGCAACAAGGTTGACGCGGTCAGACTTTAAGTTGAATTTACTTTTATTAAAGGGTCAGAGGAGCGTGATTTCTTACAACCTTATGTAATTATACATAATCCATGTTCCAATATAGGTTAGGTTAAAAACAATCTAGCTAGACAGAAAAATAGGTAAATATCTTACATATAAAGCAGAGCTGTAAATTATGTGTTTAAAGATGTGTGTGTTTTTATAATAAAACAAGACATTGGTATATATATATATATATATATGTTGCATAAAGCCGGCCAAACGACTGGACCGATTGGGCTGAAATTTTTGTGGACACAATTTTCAACATTTTATTTCCACGGGCAACGCCGGACCCTTCAGAGCTATAGAGAACACTTAAAATGTGTTCAATTTCTAAATTGTATAATACTAATTTTATAAATCTGCTTCTTCATACTATGTGCGTAAATACAGGAGCTACGAGGTCAAAAAGTCGTGAGAGTAATGTTGCAATAATTTGACCATATCCTTCTGTCTAGTTCAATTAATATAGGATACGACGTAGTAAGTGTGTTTAAATATGTATCTAATTATATTTAAATTATATTGCTTAAAAATCAATTAAGTATAATTTCAAAGTGTTATGAGAACTATGGCATATATTTAAGCAATCTAATGATTTGGTTGTTGTTGCTATATAGCAAATAGTTTTACCAGTTGCTTTAAAATCGACTTGGTTGTTGTTGCTGCATAGCAAATAGTTTTACCAGTTGCTTTAAAATCGACTTGGTTGTTGTTGCTGCATAGCAAATAGTTTTACCAGT